GACTGAGCTGTTGTCAGACGGGAAGCTGTGTGGCCAAGTAGCCAGAGCAAAGGCCTGCCCCTCAGGATCCCTGTGTTCTGTTCCTGGCTTTGCTGTTGCATGACCTTCAGCAAGTCCCGGCCCCTTTCTGTGCCTCAGTTTGCCCATTTGGGGCTAATGATCCTGAACACGCTTTGTAAAGCGCTTTGAGATCTCCTGGAGGGAAGAGCTAGGAGCCCAGATCCCCAAAGTTATTCAGGCTCCTGGTGATTTCAATCGGAGTTAGGCACCCAAACACCTCTGAGGATCTGGGCCTCGATGTTTTTGTTTAGCACCAATTTTGTTTATGGCTCAGCCCATCACCTGCATCCTGCTCACCGGCCCATTATTCTCCCCCAACCCTGCATCATCCACACATGCAATGTCCAGTCTACAGGCCAGTGATGGAAAAGGCAGCGCAAATTGTTCAGAGAAAACATTTTTTATTTAGAAAAATGGCTTTTTTCCCTTCAAGTGCCTTTTGTTTTTCAAACAAGCGTCCGTTTTCAATATTTTCCAAATATTTGGAAATAGACAATTCTTTTTTTTTCCCCAATGTATCTCACTGATGCTTTCTGGGTTCCCTTCCTTTGGGTTTTTCCAACCTCCGGTCAGTATCACAATAATAAATAATAAATAATTAAATACTTGTGGGGTGGGAGAGGGAAAAAGAAAAGAAAATACTGAAAACAAACAAATTTGGGTCTGGCTCAAAATGTGTGAAACAAAATCATTGAAATTTCAATTTTTTTTCACACAATCATTTCAATGTGCTATTGTCATGGGCTGTTTAATTTGACTAGCCACACTTTGTGGTCATAGGTTGGCCACCAAAGCCACATGGCCCCGTTCCTGCTCTTCGGTTGGGGGAAAGAATGTTTTTAAGCCAGCCAGAGACACGCTGCAGCTAGGAATTTTGATGGTGGAAAACCCTTGAGGAATGGATTAGGTATAAAAATGTTCAGCATGTGTAGAGGTCCTATAGAATTCAACAGAGAAAATCCTACCCTTGCTCCAGAATCCCCTAGGCTGATGTAAAACCCTGTGCACGTGTGGGAATTCTAACGACTCAGGAGGAAAGGTCATCACCGAATATTGTTCTGGGGTAAAGGGGCATGTGGATCAGACAGACACAACATAAACAGAGAGCTCTGGGGACAGAAGCGAGTAAGACGCAAAGTAAAAGCCAGGCAGACACAACCTGGAAACACAGGAATGTGGCCCTGTCAAGGCTCCTTCTCCACTCTGAACTTTAGGGTACAGATGTGGGGGCCTGCATGAAAACTTCTAAGCTTAACTACCAGCTTAGATCTGGTCCGCTGCCACCACTCCCAAATGTGCTAATTCCCTTCCCTGGGTAGCCTTGAGAGACGTTTCACCAATTCCCTGGTGAATACAGATTCAAACCCCTTGGATCTTAAAACAAGGAGAAATTAACCACCCCCCCCTCT